TGATCATTTTGTTTGTATTTTCGACCAGTAATTCTAATATTTCCCTCGAAAAAAAGAGACCCCAACATTCCATAGCAGTCGTTGCATGCTTACCATGCGGTCTTACACCAGGCAGATGAATCACAATGTTGTGACGTCGGGTTCGAACTTTTCTGTTAGGAACAGATTTTTTCCAGACTGTTTGTCCGTCCTTTCCGGTAAATGAAGGCACTCTGGTCGTTTTTGAAGAACCTTCCTCATTTCCCTCGCTGTCAGATGAATCCGCGTCTTGCTCTGTGTCACTATTCTCTAACTGAGCTTCAATTCCATCTTCCTCATTTTCAGATTCCTCATCGATCGGGTCTTCATCGGGTTCTACTTCTTCAAACAGGCGTAGCAGGCGCGCCTGTTCTTTTTCATAATCCCCCATTATCTTTTTCGCAATTGCAATGCCTTGAACTACGTCGGTTACCAATTCAAATATTCAACTTTGAACAATTACTTACCTATTCTTCAAGAATAAACTAAATTTAACAATCCAGAAAAGTAACACATACAATAACACCACTACTCGCGCTGGGTCTGATAGACTTTATGCCTTTATAAAATAAAAACTAACGTACGTTTTAACCCGACACTTGACAATCGTATACTAAATGCGAATACATAAAGCTAGTCAGAGCCGCAACGCTCAGCATGATCTGCGCACTTTAAAATTTACACTCAAACACGCGTCGGGTCTGGGAGACTTGGCGCGAGTACTGGAAGGTTAAAAGTCGCGACCTACATTTTTTTCTTTTTTTTTTTTTGAACCTTTATATAAATGAGCAGTAGCAATTACGCACCTCCCCAATCACATCCCGCAGTGTCACAACCTATGTAAATGCTTTAACATAATTGATTTAGCCGCTTGACGCAAATCAGAATCCCCTGATTCGAAACAAAACTTTAATAGCTCAAAATCAATAAGTGATAATGCTGACACCCGCGAGTGTAACATCGGATCCTTCACCTGGTGATCACTAACCGTCATAGACTCTAACACCTTTCCACCTACCCCTTTATTAGATGTACTCAACCTCTGGCTACTTCGACCTGATAGTGTTAAACTATCCATAGCGTAGTCATTAATATCTTTAACCCCTCCCTCCGCCATAAACTCCTGCAGGTAAGTAGTGTTGTCATTCACATCATCTAAGGTCGTATCATCTGATTCGAGTTCTATATCGTCTTGAATATTTATACTAGTTGCAACCGACTTATCATCCTGATCATCTACGTAGTCTTCAAACCCTCGTTCATTCTCCCCCAGCCATACATAAAGCCTAATCCTTCTCTCAATTAATAGATTTTGAAGATTAAATAGACGACCTTTCACGTCTTCTCGACCGTATCCATAAATCCCGCTGCCAAGCAACACAGTATCATAATCCCCTAACTCACATGCACCTTTGAAATATAACTCTAAATCGTCGAAACATCTAACTCTGTTGGTAACAATGTTTATAACTCGTCCAAATCGTCGACCCTCTGAAATTCCAAATACTAATTGATTTTGATGATAACGATTCTTATTCATCCTTTTCAAGGACGCCATTTCTGATATATAATCGCCAACGCTGTCCTCGCATACTTGTCTAGCGAATCCATCGTATCCTCGAGGGTCCGAATCACTACACTCAAAGTCATGTATAAAGTGTAACACGCGGTCTGATCTTTTTAACCATCCTTTCTTAAAGATAATAGGAATAGGCTGCTCTGCAAACTCAGAAACCATTGACTTAGGAACTCCAGCACCAGAAACGGAGCTACATGATTCAGCCCTCTTTGGATGTACAACATAGTAATTGTTAACAGGGTATTCTAACCGGACTACAACATATTCCAAAGTTCCATCTTTCTTTAACGCGTCACTGTGAGCTGGAAGCACGTCGCCACTCTTACACTCTACCGCTAAATACACCGTCTCTAAAACTGGACTTATTAACTCCATTGATTTCAGTTGACCAATAAACTCCAATTTGTCGTTTCTCTTGTACCCAATCGCGTCTTTCTTACCCTTAATCCACGCTATCATTTCTCTCTTCGTGCGAAAGTGACACCTTGTTGAAACCTCAGAAATGGAGCTGGTCGTATGATTATCATACATACTTCCATGACCGCACACACACGTCAAATACCCTGCCTTTGATAATCGAGACCTAGGAATAAAGCTTAAATGTAAAACTGTATTGGGTGGTAAACTACTAAAAGTGCCATTATTTACGCATTCTTCGTCTTGCCCTCGTTGTCCAACTTCTGTTCTAATAATAATATGGTGTTTCGTTTTTGCATTGCATAAGGTGACGTCGCTGTCTAGTAATTGGGTCGGAGCACTCATTTTTTGTCCTTTTCATACGTTACATCATCTCAATTGTGCAAATACAATGGCGCCCAACGTTTAGGGGCCTCCCAATTTGTTGTTTGAAGTTTATAAAAATTTTATATTTTAATTTTGGCTTACTTTTAAATCATCAAAATTTGTCAGAAATATTTTTGCATTTACTTAAGCAGGTAATATCAGTTTTAATAGCACACCTTATCATGGAGTACTTAGGGATGAGACCCGTCGACCTTTTGGCGGAAGAGTTGAATTATGAGCTTCGTATTCGTGGAGTAGTCTCTGATAGGAAAGATGCAGTTACTAAACGCAAAATTTTGAATAAATTGTTAGAAAAGGATAGGAATCGTTCGAACGTTACTCATGTAGATCCGTTATACGATTTTGATAACGAAGCTGAGATTATAGAACAAGCCCTAGATTCATTGAAAACTTTAATTGTAGAATTCGATGGTACGGAGACAGATTCTCTCTTTAAACGAATTAATTCTAGAATTCTATACCTTACTAATCGTGTCCACAGATTAAAAACTGATGGGGATGACAGTCAGGTGGTCCAAGCTTTTAAGAATGAATCCATTGCGTCAATTTTAGAATTGGAAGTTTGTCTGTCGGATAAAGTTGTTGCGAATAGCACGTTAGGAAATGTTAATCATACAGCTCACGCGTCCTCTAGTAATGAACAACCCATGACCATCCAACATTGTGTAAATAATTATAATAAATCTGTACCCGTTTACAAATGGGGTTTGAAATTTTCGGGAAAAGAGGGTTCTAGTTTATTATCTATCATTCCTAGAACAAGTAGAAGATTACCGGGTGGCAAGGAACGTTACCAAAACAGAATTATTTAATTCGGCCGTCGAGTTATTCTCAGACGGTGCCTTAGTTTGGTTTAGATCTGTTAAATCGTTAGTTTTGGATTGGGACCAATTAGTAATTAAACTTAAAGCGGAATTTTTACCATGCGATTATGAGGAGGATATTTGGCAAGAGATTAGGGATAGGTTTCAAACTAAGCAGGAGCCATTTCGTAGCGAATCAACCAAGTTAAAGTACATTCGTCGGAATTTATTGCCATGTTATATAACGTCATTAGCTCTTGTACAAATCAGTTCTATATCGGAATTGCTAGAGTTATGTAAAAAAATCGACAATGCTGATACCTTGAAAAATAAACAAAAGACGGCGACTCAAAATACAGTTAAAAGGCCAATAGTTAATGAAATTTCAACTAATGTTAGACCCATTTCAAACGAATTTCGTACGTCTACATTTAGTGGTACTAATACAAGACCCGGTGGTAATTCTGGTTCTAGGTCGTTTTACAATAAAAATTTTTCAAACAGTAGGGGAAGGTGGGGATGTTTGGGTCATTTTTTAAATAATCTGCATAATTATTTGAAAATGATACAGACACCACTTCAATGTCAGACAGTTGTAATTAGTAACCTTTTAGCAATCACTGTCCATAGTTATTGCTATATTATTATTACATAGGATACTTGAAAATTCAAAAATTCTAGAAGTCACTATCTGACCCAAACCTCCCTTAATGTGGGAGGTATGGGTCAGGTAATGGGGTTAAATGGGTCACTTACTATTTGTGATGTTTTAGGTGTAAAAGGGCTTATATTTTTACAGTAAAACTATTTTTATTGGATATATTGCATACAAAGTTAAAGTAAACAAAGAAATAAGAACACAACAAATTCAAATTCTGAAAACAAAAAAAAAAATATCATGTGGCCATGAATCGTTAACACATCTAGTTCAGGTTCTTAAAACTACTTAGGTCAATATCAAAGTTGCAAAATTTTTGCGTTCTGTTGGTACCAGCTATGTTATTTGGAGGACTCAAACGCAGAACTATATCGCTAAAATCAACTTCTGAAATATCCGTTTCCTCTGGGTAATAAAATGTGTTTGAATTTGTTTTCCTTCGTAAAAAATTTATAACATAAAATCCTTGTTCGTTTACGTTTTGTATATTTCCAACATAATGCAGACATGTTCGTTTTGTGGTAAATTTAACAACTACATAATCGCCAACTCTAGAACAACTTGCAGAGTGATCAAAATCTTCAGACACACGGTCATTTTCTGGATCGTATTCGGAAAGGTCCGAGTCCGGTAGTTCTTCACTAGTTCATCGCTTTCAACTGTCTTGTATGTTGCACAATAATTTCTTTTTCCTTCGTCTTTTTCTGAGTAGTAACCTCTTCACAAAATTTTCTCTTTACTGTAGCTACTTTTTCATATTTCTTTCATTTTTCCAATCTTTCTATTTCAGTTCTCTGGCGTTTCTGTCAAAATTGTGTGCGTCCTTTTGCACGTCCC